TATATATATATATTAGATTACTACTACAGAACATAATTAATATTGGTTGATTACAATGTGAAAATAGCAAATAGCTCCCGACCGGGGACTCTTGGCCTCCAGCCTCATTGCTCGCTTCGCTCGGAACCTGACCACTTTCTCGTAGCATGATGAGGCTTAGAATGTGGGGTTGATTTCAATCACATGATTTGAACCTAGGATCCTTAAAGAAGTGTCTGAACCACCAGGTTATTCAACTCCACCGTTAAGATAATTGCAAGTGGAAAAGATGCACTAAGAAAGCGACAAGCTTTCTGAAAGTATAGGCCTATTGTATAATATATAGGGTCTGTGGTACCATCAACATAAACCAATGTGCTCAGTTAGCATAGAGGGCGATGTTAGTTACACACTGCAAAGAATCTGCATAATTTATTGGCTTCTCCCAGCTTTAGCCGGAAAACTGTGGCGTAAAGGTTCTTAGTTGCCCTGGTTCGAGAGTACCGTCGGGGCCCTTGACGCATATAAATTAGCAATTGCTACTCTTTATTGAAGTATACTACTACCATCCCCATGACATCGAGTTTTGTACAATTTATTATTTTGCATATGAAGTAATGATCCGCGGGGCACCATCCTGGAACTTAGTCTTCGGGCAAGAATATTACTTATTACATATGATGTATAATTATATATTGTATACCGTGATTCAGGCATTATTCTTTCGGAGTTTCGGTTTGGGGAACGCAATACGGTAATGGTTACTTATAAAAGTAAAAGTGACAATATTGTAACTATGGTCATTAAAGGAAAAAGAAACCTAAACAGGCCATAATTATATTTAGCCTTTGGGTTGATAAAAAAGAAAAAAAACCGGCACAGATATCTACGACATGGTAGTTTATTTCCATTTTCTGTTATTAAAGTAGCCCTCTCAGTAAAGTACACTGCTCTTCCGAGGGGCTCCACAATACAATAATATCTACGGAAGAGGTGTTATTTTGAGTGAAATTTAAAGTGCTAACGTCTCAGTTATAAATGAACCTAAATGAAACTTTCCAGAATAGTTGTTCATGGTCCATAATAGACAGCCTAATAATTAATTTACTAAAGGTACTGTAGGGATTATTTAAAAAAAATCAACTCACATTACGTGTTTTCAGTTAGTATAGTAAGAGCTGTTTAGTTACAAAGAATTTTATTAACCTAAAGTGTCGGTTTTAAAGGTTAAAATTCATTGTTTATTCCTTATTCTATCATTTTTTAAAGATTTGATATTTCTCTTTTTTAATTTAATTAATTTGTTAATGTTAGGTATCTACTTTAATTTTTATATTTTATACTTTAGTCCTTTATTGTATGTACTGAAGGTTCCCATTTGACCAGCTCTGGCTGGATGGACCACCCTCACAACATGTTGTTGATATAAATAAATATATAAATTGGTACAATTTTTTTTAAAGATTTAATAATTTGACAAAATTCTAGTCTACGGGAAGTGTCTACAAATGTCGTGCCATAAGTTCTGATTTCTTGTTAGCAGATAAAAGAGTTGTCACGGTTGTTATGAAGAAGTATACATGCATATTATCGCGTTACCTAACATTTTCTACATAAGCCATAAACGGGTCTGAATTTTTTTTTATTTTTTTATTTCCATCAACATGAATACTTTTAATATATAATACGGATATTGTACACATCAATACCCGTCTATGTTGAATTAATCACGCTCGCCTGAAGAAAGGCCTGCAAATCTATGCCTCTACTACACTACAGCATTCAATGTATGTAGCCAGGACATGTTATCGTCACAAATCAAGAGATAAAATTGGTAGTAAATGACACAATCGTTTGCCTTGTCTTCAAAATAGACCATCTTGAACATCCGGATGCTCAACCCTGGCAACTATGGCTCACAAAGTAAAGACGAGGAATTCGAATAAAAAAAAACTGGAAATGGCTGATTACCTTAAACAACGAGGATAGGTATCCTATACAGACATTGTAAGACACATTTTCAAGTAGCATATCATTGGAGTTACCCAAAGTAGTCTACACGATAACAATCACTCTTCACATGTTTCGACTAAACTCACAAAAAGTAGCAAACGTGGTAACTATACTTCAATTACTATATACTAAGCTACTGTATGACACATTATATCAAATACATTTTCAAAAAATTAACGTGAAGGTCTGATCGAAATTCAAAAGATCTGTTAGTACAATTCAAATTGTATCGTCATGTTGTTAGAATAGGTAGGACCATACTAAAACAAGTGTTACAGCTTTGACCTTGAGTAAATGCAACTTAAACGGATTCAAGACTTGTTACTTTACCGTCTATTTACCTTCGTCATCCGCCGGGTCGAATAAGCATCCAGAAGTTTCTGTGTAATATACATTTTCGGAGTTGTTTTGTATTTTCTAATGTCTTGGCTGAGCCAAATAGTTGTCTTAGGTCTTGTAGAAGTGTATCTACTAAGGTGATTTTCTTCCTTTCTCTGTACTTATAAACATCCTGTGGCTGGCATAACACTATAGGTCGCTAGTAACATCTTAACAGTGCCACCAGCATGACCAACAAGCTGAACTCAAAATTCTACTGGCGCTTGGATTCAATTCAATTCAAATCAATTTAAATTTATTTTTGGTTAAAATTACATACATAAAAATAACAAGAACAATAAAGACAAAGAGTGCTGCCAACCCAGGATAAGTACACATACATGCAACTATACACATCT